AATACTTTTATAAACTTAAATCCTCGTCTTATTCTTAAAACTATGAAAATTTCTATATTATTTACCCGACTACTACATAAATTTTAACTCCACAGCATCAATTTTAAAACCATTTTTCATCACCAATTTTATTACCAATTTCTTTAAGACCAAAGATACCCATAATTTTTACCTTTATCTTGAATAATAAGAGACCTTTGGAAGGTGTTTAACAATCATTTCTGTAACTCATGGATTTACAACGCGCACTTATCAATATAGAATTTTCAATCGTGCATTACGATGTTAAAAATTGAACCAAACTTCGATATAAAAGCTGAAAATTAATAACTAAAACCAAACTAATAATATCACTTAAGATTCTATCTAAGTCAAAGGAAAACATCGGTTTTTTTTTAAGTATTTGCACTTTTCCTGTCCGGAATGAAAAAAAGATTCATGTGGAATACAGGGGAGCAAAATCAAATTATATTGTTTAGTCATGATAAAGAAACAGGTAGGCCTCAGTTTCTTTCCATATAATTTAGCTTTTTTTCCTTTCATTTAAAGCTCTCTCGTTTGCTTTTCATGGACCTAATTCTCCTTTATCTTCACCCTGGCTTATTTCACGCTTTCACACGTAACAATTTTGACTCGTTTCAAATTTTCTCCGAATTATACGGAGTCACAACAACCGATATTATAATTTCGCGAAGCAAACTAATTACGCAAATGGATTGATCTTTGACACTTTGTGATTCGTTTAAACTATTAAAAGAATATGTATGTGGTTAATGATACAGCTTCTTTGTAATTACTCGTCTGAATAGCTCGTAAAACGAAAACAATTTGTAGCCTTGATGGTTATCTGAAGTACAATTCCCTTTTAAATCACCAAATGGAAGCGCAATTCAATCAAATTTTGTCCCCGGAAATAACATTTAATGGGCTTTTAGTCAAATTTTCAAATAACAAAGGGCAACAAATGTCCGTATAAAAGAAGGAAAAACACCAAGTTCTTTGGCGATGTCGATTCGTTTTCATAAGGAAAAGAAAAAAATTGTCCTATTTGATTAATAAGTACAAGCAATAAAAGCGCCAACCCCTTGACTCCCAAGAGTGACTAGCATCTAATTTCTCCTTACAATATCATCCCTGGATCACACGTTGAGGTCATGAGAATAAAAGAAATAATCACCAACTAAGGAAGTACTTGATTGTTAAACAAATTCTCCTTGTCAATACATTAAGATATGTATAGAGAACAAATGGAGAAGATGTATATTGACGTTAGAGTGTAAAGGGTTAAGAATGGATTCACAAAGCACTGAATGCTTCAAATCATTTTTCTCTTTCAGTTGCTTGTAAAAGAGTAAAATTTGTAGCTGCATAAAAGGTGACGAAGTGGATTAAATAATCGCTCCACCTGTTTAGTGGATTATTTTGCAAAAAGAAGCTGTATGGTCATCAGGTGTGGTAGTTAAACTTTGAATCGATTTGTCAAAAACGTTATCTTGTGTCAAACTCCGTGTCACTTCGTTTTGTCTTTAGAGGATGGAATCTCCTCAAAGTTCGCTCGGCCGCTTCGCGAAGCTCAGTTACTCGCCAGAAATAGATCACAGGATTCACAGAGGAGTTTGCAAACATGACTGCAACTGCCAAGCAATGTGCCACAGATGTTCTTAGATCTTCTTGTTCTTGCGAGGCACTAACTGCAGTGGTGATAACAAACGGGATATAACTTAACGCAAACGCGGCCACGAGAATGATCATTGTGTTTGTACTGCGGCGATAGCGAATCATACTTTGAAAGGTTTTTTGATTTGTATCGCGTACGTGTTTATTGTGCCTTTTCATAGTTTTGTGAATAAGGGAAAGGCACCTCAAAGCGCTGACTCCCATTACAAAACACACGGCCGTGAGTGCATAAGCTAAGAGCTTGCTGGTGGCCCAAAACCAAAGAACTGTAACCAAAGTCGCCCATATTAACCAGTAGATAACAACCGTTATGACCACGCGAGAGGCTGTTATCAATTCTGTATATCGAAGATGAAAGCGCAGAGCGAGATATCGCTCGAAGCTAATGGCCGTCAGAGTTAGGAAAGAAATCCCATTGAAAAGCCAGCTTGAATAGAAAAGCATGAACACAGTCAGGCAGTATCTTTCCAATTGGCCAAATAGCAAGAACAGTTCGGCTACAACGAAGAACGGCTGAGATGTGAAACCAACAAAAAAGTCGGTGGCTGCCAAGGAGCAAAGCAAAATGTTTCTCGGCGTGTGCAACGCGGGCGTTCGCCATGTGACGAACACAACTACTGCGTTTAAAAACAATGCGAAAAAACAAAGCATGAACATGAAAAAAGAAGCCGTTAGAGAAGCGATAACGTAGTACTGTGGCAGCTTCTTCCTGATGTCCATGTCCAAAAACGGTTGAAGATTCTCGCAGTAACCAGATGGCTTGATGATTGAAGCGTTTAGCAGAATTAAACTTGTTATATTCGCCATGATTGTGCAAAACTGTGTCTTCGGCTGTCGTGTTGTTCATTTATATCCACTAAAATACGTCAAATTGCTCTTTTCTTTGAAAGCTTTTAAACAGCAGCTGCATGTTAGCTCTAACACGGTTGGCAATTTCCTGTAAATGCAATCTGAAAACCGTTTCTGATCTTTATAATGATACGGTTTCCTTATTCCGTGCAGCAATTTCGGGTTATTAGATGCAATTTCTCAAAGAAACCAGAATATTCCCCTCAACCTAATTTGCACTTGTTGATTAATTTTTTTACGAAGAAAAGTTCTTCATCTCAAGTTAACCATTCATATGCAAATAACAAGCGTCTTTTTGAAATGAGTATTTACTTAAACTGAGGTGAAAATATCTTTGACGTAAATGAAAAATGAACTCTTGGTTTTCATCTCGGACAGCATAAATTCTTTGTTCAGTATCCAACATACAAGCGCGGGTCCAATGAATGCTAAGAAGATAAAGATTTTTCTCTTTCAGGAAACATCGTATTTGGTTTCTCAACTTCATCCTTTTTTGAGCATAAATCGATTTGTTAAATATTCAATGATTCGTAACTCTTCTTTTCTTTAATTTATGATAATAGCTTGGTAAACTTGATAGGTGGGGAAAACCGCAAACTGAAGGAACATTCTAAACTGAAGTTGCAAGATGATTATAATTAAAGAAGTTTGGGACTACTATGTTTTGTTTAGAACTGAAAGACCGTCAATGGCTGCCAAAAATAAATTATCTATCTGCAAAATGTACTGCCGAAAATATTAATTTCCACAGGTAAAATTTTAAATCTCCCGACAGAAATTTATGCAAGAGAGAGCCAAAATAAATTGGCATTCCGTCATCAGCTCCTCTTAAAGTGTGAGAAAAAGTGACTCCGTTTGTAAAACGTTTGTATGTCCTAATGAGTTTCATTAGAGAGTTTCATTCAGAGAGCCGCTGAACAAGATACTCAGAAAATGGTGGGCGACAGGCGAGGAGAGAGGAGAGAGGAGATGGGTGAAATGCCACTTGATAATCCCCTCTGGTGTATATAATAAACACCCTATAAATACATGCATATAAGCTTCGATTGACTTCCAAAAACAACCAGAGACGACTTGATAGACTCCAGAGAGGACCATGACAGTTATTTTGCGAAAGACTTGACTATGGCCAGGGGTAGCATTCGGGTTTTCTGATCTCTAGTGCTACCCATTGCACGGTTTAAAAACAGCTGTTTTTCTGGCCAGCATTGGGAAAAACTTTGTTAAAACAGAAAATCCCCTTCTGTTTATCCTCTCTTTATTCAAGAGATCAGCAAGTTATGGAAACAATTGGAGTGAAGCGGTCGCTGAGATTTGTTAGAAGGATTCAAATGGCGGCGTCAAAAGTGGAATTTAAGTGTATTTAAAGGAAATCTTCGTTCGGAAGGTTCGCTTAATCCTTGGACCAGCAAAGAGTAATAATTTCATAACTACTTTTCAACGGTGGAGAAAATAAATCATAGGGTTCCTGAAGAGCAACTCTGATTTTATTGAAGAATGCCTCCTTGTAAAAAGATTAACCCCCTTCTATGATCTTGCAAAGAGAGTAGGAATCATTCTTCCAGTTGGTTGATAAAGACTGCAATGAGTCTAATGATTTTCAACCTGTTTGAATTCGTGTGATGTATCGAAGAGAGAAAAAGTTGGTTTTAATTCGAGCGACTGGTCGCACCGACAAAATTCTAACGTTAACAAAAATCCTCCATGTCACATGAGGCGAAGCGTTGCGGCGACTTTTCCAAGTGCTTTTCGCTGGGAACTATTCTTACCTAAGTTGCTGTGACTTTGCCACGCAAATGACGTAAAGAATGACCTGTCTTTAAGAAATAAGCTGAAAAATTTAGCGTAACTCGTTGGCATTTTTCATTTTCTATTTGAACCAACTTCTTTGCCATCTTTTTTGCCATTTTTCTTTCTTCTTGTACCTTTTTCGTCAACTTTCAAATTTGGTCAAAGTTCTTTCTTCTAATCCAAGATTATCCTTAACTAACCTGATAATTAAAAATATCATGACGTCACTCGTGGTGTACTTAATTGGTTAACGATTTTCATAATCAAACACTCGCTCTTTCACTCGAACAAGTTTCGTGTCATGCGATGTACTGCATGTCATTTACGTCGACCTTTATTTGAACAGGCGCATTTGATTCCCAGGCAAGGTCAATTTTTCTCTCCTCTTAGTGAACAGTTATGCGTTCCCGACAGGTAGGTTTTTCAATAATTTTTTATGCATTATCTTCAAGGTTTCAAACAGTACTTCCCTTCCTCAATGTTATGTCCCCTTCGTAGAAAATTCACAGCAACCTTTCGCTTCGGGTGACACATAGAATTTCCCTGAAATCATCATCTCTGCGAGAAAATTCTATCTTTGCTATGGTCACACAAATCTCAACTGGTTCTTATTGCTGCGCATGATCGCGACTTGTCGTCAGTTAATAATGCACACGAAGTGTTTCTTTTTTGTGTGTGTCATTGCAAATGGTCCTCTTCGGCATTTAGACTTCTCCTTTCATTTGCATGAAATTTTCCGTCTTGAGATCTTTATGACTGCCTTCCGAAGATCGCGAATTCGCCAACAGTACAAAAAAGGATTGATGGCAGAGTTTGCAAACACCAATGTTACTGTGAAAATCCAAGCTTCCTGGGAACCAACGGGAAACTTTTCTCTATAAAATATCCTATAAATAAACCATGGAAGATAACAAAAAATTGTGCTAATGTAGAATACGAACGTGTTCGTAGTAGTTCGTGTTAACATGGCTAAGCTGTAGACATTTTGGGCACTGGGATATTCCAATGCTTGCCTTTGAGCGTATATTTCTGCATTATGTCGGCGAACTATGCGATATATACCAATATACGAAACAGTGGACGCTGAAATATAAACACCAACTAATACCATGGCTAAATGAAAAATTTGTTGGCGTATACCGTATGTTAAGACCGGAGTTTATTAGCCAAATTAATATCAGAGTTAACTTAACTCGCGATTTAGTAACCAGAGAGCTGTATGTCATGTGAAACTGTAAAGCAAAAATTCTATCGACACTTATTGCTGACATGGTAGCGAAAGAAATTCCGCAGAATAAAGTCCCAAAGCTTCTGGTCAGTCTGGCAAAAATGCAAACAGATGTAAGATCCCTGGCTATGAAGATCGGTTGGACTATCAAACCCACGACGAAATCGGAAGCAGCGAGACCACACAGCAAAATTATGGAAGGTGAACGGAGCGAAGGTGTCTTTAGAACGGCTGTTAAAACCATAGTGTTACCGAGAATGGATAACACTAGCAGCGGAACGTTCAGAATACAGTTAACAATGGTTAAAGTTGATAGACCAGTTGGAATTTTGTCGTCATCAGAATCTTGATCAAAAACTGAAACATTCAATAGATCAAAGCTAGCGTTGAGCATCTTAGGGAATTTAGCTTTCCGACACACCTTTGCTGAAAATTCAAACTTGTTGCAATGAGAAGTGACTTTTTCTGAAATTGTGTCCGCCTTGTTTGTCGCAGTTACTGAGAGTTCAGTATTGACAATCCAGTTTGTTGGGTTTATAATCAGTTTAGCAGGTGCACAGTTTTACTAGTCAACTTATGACGGTACATGACAAGATGTCAATTTCTGCATGAGTAAAACGAATTTTGTAAGCAAGGTTCTTTCTTTCCACTTTCATGTTCAATTTAAATTTGTTTTTTTGAAATATACCCTTCATAAAGCCTGAAATTTGCGGCATCCAAATTTTCACATGGGGAACAATTGTTGTCCTCCTCTTTGGGAAATGTAGCTGAAGAAAGGCGAACTGATTAAGAACGCTTCTTTAGATGTCATATAAGAGACAACTGGCGGCTTTATTATACGCGGAGAGTTCGCTGTTTTAAATATCTAATATGCCGACAAATTTTCAGAGCTTTTTCATAACAGCTTTTCATAAGACACTACTAAAGTAGCACTTGGGACTGACAAGTTGGCGATGAGTCATGAAGTTGGCGTTGAGTCATAATTTTTATAGCATTCAGGATGAGATGACAGAAACACTTGAGATGGACGTATAATTTGCGGTAACAGCAAATTTCAGATATGTATGGGTTAGTGCCCTCATCATTCAAAAATATACCTCGGGATAATTGCTCCAAATTTTGCTGAGCGAAGTTTTAGGATGTATTGTTGTCGACTATACATCATTTAATGTAATGAGGTACTTTAGAGGCCGAAAACGCACGCATAATAAAAATTATCAACCATGAAATGCACAAGGGGAAACAGATGGTATTACACTGCGCAATTTATTCGTTCTCGTTTGCATAATATTCGCGCTTTTTAATCTGTCGGAAGGGTGATAAAACACTAAATTATCACTTAATTTTTAGAGCGTACAAGTCTATCTTATTGAACTGTTCCTAATCAACAGAGAACATTCATTCCGGATAAAAGTGCGAAAATTTAGCGAGAGTAGGAGTCCTGTTTAAAAAAACCTATTATGAAGATGCTTGATTGTTCATGATAGCGGACACTAACTTGCAGCTGTGCAAACAGACAAAATAATAACTTTCTATTTTAACTGAACTGAGGTGACAGGCGAGCACAATTTAGACAGTTTGGCATTTTGAAAATTTGTCTTAAATTTCTTTGAGGTTATTTTGTTTCATTTAACCTTTTAATGATGCTAGGAAGATGCTAAAAAAATTACATGCGACGGAACCCTGACTGAGAAGTTTCCTAAGAAAATATTAATCAGTATGGATGTGTTTGAATGCGAAATCTATTTTCGAGTGTTATGGTAGAAAATATCATAATACCTAACTCGGAGAAACATGAAGTAAGCTCTTTGACTAAATACAACTGTCTATATATATTTTTAAGAAAATAGTCCGTTGGTGCCGGAAAATTGCTCTCGGTGAAGGTTCTAAAAAACATAAGTTTGATAACATTGTTACAGCGTTGATGAATTTAAGGTGCACGGCAAGAAGAAAAGTCAAACTTACGATAAATAGACCTAATAAATTCGCCTAAAACAATAGTTATCCAAACAAGAACCGTAAAAACATCAGGAGCGTTGATAATAACCATTCATAATGGACATATTTATGTATTTTGGCCTTGTAAGGCATTTTAATGAGCAGTTGGCACAATTAAGGATTCAGTTTCGTCTGGCACTTTAATAAATATCGCGGTACGATAGATTTTTATTTTTTTCTCAACTGTGACACGGTTAAAGCTTTAATTCAAAGACAAAGAGACGGACAACTAATGTTAATACAATTCTGTTTTCCTGTTGAAGATTTTTAAAATATTTTTCCTTTTTTTTTTCTTTGAGCGTGTGTGTGTAATGGAAAAAGAGGAAAACTTTAAAACATATTTACTTGGACCATTATGGACTAAAATTTACCCTCTGCATGCAGAGACATTCTGCAGTTGAGAGAAAATTGCATGGTTTACTCTTTTGTTATCACAGGGTTTAAAAAGTAAAAACGTAATATTTTTGTTTCTCCTCAAATGGATGAAATTTATCCTTTTTACATGCTTATCGGTCCTTATGAATTTATTCAGCAGTGTGTACTATTTTCTAGTCAATCATTTAATTTCAGATGAGACTTTGTGGCCTGACGTAAATAAAACGCGCAAAAACATACAAATAAATTTCAGGAAATTACTAACTTTAAGAACTGTGCATTTTCGAACTGAAAGCGGTCTTCGAGAGATAGCAAAGGTTCATTTCCTTCCTGCTTTTTCACGATTTATAGCAAGATATTTACCTTAATAACTTCAAAACCGCCCCCCGAAGTTCACGAAGACGCCAGCAATACAGTACAGGATTGATGGCCGAGTTGGCGAACACCAAAGTTCCCGTAAAGATCCAAGCATCGCTGGCATCTTTGAGAACGATATTTGTATAAAAAAGCCGATAAATGCTCCATGGCAGATAGCAAAAAACTGTACTTATGTAAAATACGAAAGTGTTTACTGCCGTGCGAGTCAAAATAGTCACGTTTGCGGTGATTTTAATATTAGGAACTCCCATTGCTTGCTGCTGAGCGTGGATCTCGAATTGGTGTCGGCGAGCGATTCGATAAATGCCAACATAGGCGATGGTGGAAACTACCATATAGAAACCCACCAATCCAAACGATATATAAAATTGTTCGGGTGCATACCAGACGTGAACTCCGGAGAATATTGAGAAGTTTACAAGCCAAATAAATATCAAAGTGAGTTTAACGCGCACTGTGGTAACCAGAGAATTGTAAATCATGTGATATTTCAGAGCCAAAAATCTGTCCAAGCTTATCGCTGACATGGTAGCGAATGAAATTCCACAGAACGTAACACCCAAAATTCTCGTCACTCCGGCTAAAAATTTCACTGAATCGAGTTCTTTCGCGATAAAAACCGGCTGCACTATCAAGCCCACGGCTAGGTCTGAAACAGCGAGACCACAAAGCAAAACTATGGAGGGTGAACGAAGCGAAGGAGCTTTGTAAACGGCTGCTAAGACCAAGGAGTTTCCCAGAATCGATATCAGCATTAGTGGAATATTTAGAAAGCAGTTTAGTAAGATGATAGTCGAAGGACCAACTGAATTTTCGTCTTTCTCAATATCTAGATTATGCGTTGCATTGGAAATTTTGAGGTCGTTGTCCTCCATCTCGAAGCTTTGGCAAATCTAGCACATTTTAAAAAGTTTCTGCCGTTTTAGTTTATCATTGTCGTGAGTTTCAAGTGAAATGCTGTTCAAGCTCGTAGATGTCCAACCTTATTGGCAGTTACGTATATATTAATTGTTAAAAATTAATCACGTTTATTATATGGATCTTTCAGCATGTAAGAATTTCACCTGCAATTTAAGTCAATTCACCTGAACCAAATAGCAAAAATTAACATTCGATTTGTTTATTTTTCCTTCCCATGGACAAAATGTCGAAATTCCATAAAAAAAAAAAAAACTGGACTGAGCCTTAATTAATTGCTGAAAAATTAAAAATGTTGAAGCCGGTAGCTATTGTAAGGCTGTTTTACACTCCAGGGTAATCAGAAATGAAAACTGGTCCGCCATGTTACAATTTTAGATTAGCGGGCGCGTTTCCTAGTCAAACCATGACAGGAGCCAGCGACATCAGAAATATTGAGCTGAGGGTGACCTTTTGTTCGAGGGATTCAGATTTTTAAGTAATATAAAATCAAACTGAAGACAAAATACCGTGTCTTAAAAATAGAATAAAATAAATTAGGTAAGATGAAAAGGCGAGTAATTTTTCGCCGCATCGAGGGAAATTTGTATTACTCATTTTGTGAAAATCCAATCTCTTTTAAATTGCAGCATCAAAGTCAGTTATACAGTGATGTCCATCAAAGTTCGTCACATTACACGTAGCTAGCTCATGTAGTACAGCAGCCACCCCTCCCTAAGGTTTGTTTGGGTACACCGTGAATCTTATACACAGACCTTCCTCGGCCAAACGATAGAGGAGACAACAGCGTTCAAATGTCTGTACATGCGCGCTCGTTGTGATTTTTCGACAAAGTTCAGAACGAAGCGGTAAATTAACAGGATACCCGTGTTTGAAACGTCGCAAGTTTTCCCTTTTCCCTTCTTTAGTTTCCTTTCACAGATTTCTATGAACGATTCAATTCTTTTATTCGCATATTTTGAGTGACAGCGGCTTTTTCTTATTCCTTAATTAAGCGGGGAAAATATTGATTAGCGCGCGCGCGGACATCCCCTTGCGCATTCCTGACATTTCTCCTGGGTCGCGTAACAAAAGTTGGTCAAAGTAACATCTGAGCTTAACGTTGGCTGTATTTAGTTCCGTTTCTTTGTCAAGCCCGAGTTTAAGAGGTTCTTCACTGTGTGTTTTATCATAAACATTTTGCAAAACGCGATGCATGATGACATCCTAAGCAGGGGAGGGGGGGGCCAGGGTGGGGGAGGGGCTCATACTTGTCCTAAAATTATCATTCAAACTTTTCATTGTAGGGAAAAGTGTCAGTAATAATGCTTTGTTAACAGATAATGCATCATATAAATTGGAGGCAAATCTTTAGATTTTTGACTCCCAGGAGTGATCGGTATGTAAATTTTTCTTACATTTTCAGAAGTAAACAAGAAACAAGAATGAAGAAAATTATCAACAAGGTGGACTTGATATAACTCCAAATTTCTCAGGACTAGTCAGCACAGAAAATGAACAGTATTAGTTCGAAGAATTGACATTAAGATCTGAGCAGTGAAAGGGCGAAACACTTAAAGTATTTAAATTGTTTTTGTATTTCTGCAATGATAAACTATCCTTGAGTGCATAGTACATAATGCTGAAGATTGGAAATTGTTGGGGTTTATTTCAAGTTTATTTCCAACTGCAAATAGTTTAAATTTCTTGTCTGATACTCAGGAGCGCTGCGAACGCCCTCTGGTTCTAGATCACTAATCTTCTGTTTTAGGTGCTTGTCGATAGGCTGAAGAAGTCCTACTGACTATTAAAAGGACCAATCATCTGGTTTGCTAAAAATCTGCGTATAATTAATTTAGTGTTAACAGCTGAGTTGAAAACGTAAATTGGCCACCGTAAAGAGTAAAGAAAGCTGACGTTTCGAGTGTTAGCCCTTCGTCAGAGCGATTGGAGGAATTGTAGGTTGTGTGTGGGTTTATATGCAGAATGCGGAGCTACGCTATTGGTGGGAGTATGGTGACGAGAAAACAAGAATAAATTAGTTGAATGAAAAGCGCTCGTTGATACCGTGGAGATTAAAAGTGCCGATTTGGAAGATAAATTTTTGTTCAAGTGTTTTGCGGCTAAGGGTTAACGCTTGAAACGTCGGCTTTTTTACTCTTTACGCTGGCCAATTTACGTTTTCAACTCAGTTGTTAACACTAAATTACCTGTTATACTCTCCCACCGACGCAGCACCACAGTTTCTTTAGAAACTTACCCCCTTTATTCATTTGCGTATAATCAAGTTTTGATTAAAGTTGTCCATTTGCATCAATATCATCAATGCTATGAGGATCTATCACAGATTATTATTATTGTTGTTGTTATTACTATTACTAATAATAGTATTATCATTATTATGTAGTAATGATAATAGTAATAATAAAAATAATGCACTTATACGGCGCAAGTTCAAAGTAAGTTCTCACATGCCCCTCACAGTTCCTTACAAATATCTCAAGATAAAGAAAAAGTAAGACAACTACCGTTGATAGATGAAGACAGCTGTACGCGATGAGGAAATTTTTTTCAAATTTTCAATTTCTGATACTGACAACATGAATAATAGTATAATTACTTGTCCACTTTCTCTTTAATCGTATTTTAAAGGTATTTTAAAGTAATTTGAACCTGGTACCTTTCCTATGGCGTGGCCTTGATGGTCAGTAATATGAGGCAACTGTATATAGAATCTCCTTTCCCCAAAAGCCGACTTTTTGAGACTTGATCTTAAATGCTTGGACACTTCCTGCTGTGTTCTTTTCCACCTCGATCTATTTCGAACAGTAAGGTAAATTACAATACATTTTATAGACCCAACACTTACTCGTTGACTTTGCTTTGTTTTGTTTTGCTTTGTTTGTTTTGAAAAGTTTTGTGGAATAGAAAGAACTACAAAATAAACGGCTTGCACTGTTGCGAAAATCATTTCGTTTCACAGCGCCCTACCTTAAATGACGGGAACATGGCCACTTCCCTCACAGTGATCTGTACTGGACAGGCCAGTTTCTTTGTATGTTGTGGGACTCTGTAGGAATGGCCCCTCCATAATGATTTTCAGCTTTCATCTTCGAAACGAAAAGTAAAGATAGATTAAGACTAAAGATTAACCTTTTTTATTCAAATCAAGAGCTGTTGCATTAAAGTTTTCGATGTTTAACTTTGGAGATTTTGCTTCTCACCCTAGTTTCAACGCCACATTTCTGTCTTTTCCCTGATGGCAGTCATATACGGGTGTTCCGATAATCATAAAAGGAATGCCGTCCAAATTTAATTTCGGTCCCTTGACAGGCTGCGGATCTTCCAAGAAAATTCTGTGGTTCGGTGCGGATCTCTATGAAAAAGTACAAATCAGATTAACTACTTGCGACAGACGTCTCTGCTACTGAAGCTTGCTATTCGGGCTACGGAAGAAGTCGACATGCACTCAAAGAAACAGTCTTTATGCCTTAGCGCGGTTGATAATTCGATGAAATAGGATACGACTTTATACCTCACTCTACAGTGTTGTTGAATTATAAATGAATGCATCCAGATATATTGCATGGATTACGTTTCAAACAAAAAAATATATATTTCCTTTTTTTTTTTATACCTTTATTGGTAGAACTCTGACGTAAGTCTGGTCAAGTCTTGTTCTCCTGTTTGTCTGCCCTTTAACCTAAATACCTTTAAGTGGATGTTAAATGAAACAGCGACCCTTAGGTAGATGTTTTCGAATGTTAATTTGGTAATTACTTTTTTGGAAGAAAAAACTTTCCTTTCTTTGTTTTTCTGACCTTCCATGAAAAGTATTTAATTACAATTTAATTTCCTTTAACCGACTCTGAACTGCTTTATTTTCGCTACAAAATTAGGACTGCCCGAAATACTTTGGAGATTTGAGCAAAGCGAACTTTGTTGTCGTTTGTAATTCGTGGCTTCAAATAATTCTTTTAACGTTCTCAAAATCATAGACGTAATCATAATTCGCAGAAATCGTAAAATCGAAGTTTACCGCTATTTTTCGACAACGCGGCAGTTTTCGTCGTGACATCGAGACAGTTCATTTAATTCACGGTTGATTTTTAACGTTTCAACTTCCGGTAAATTCGTGCCGCCCGAAAATTTTCGTAACGCAACACCCAAAGCCGTGACCTTCTCCTGGTCGATGTTACTTTGACGCGACCTTTCTTCTGGTCCCCGGGTCTCGTGACTCCCGTGGTCACGCGTAAAGGCATAGCTAATGAAGGCGTGAATAGAAGATGGCGGCCTCTACATTTGAGATTTCTGTCGTGAAAGAGAGTTGTTCACAGCTTGGAGAAGGCCCCCATTGGGACGAGACGACACAACGGCTCATATGGGTGGATATTCTGGGGCATAGCGTTCATCTACTTGATACTGTAACGGGAAAGGTGAGATAATTTTATGAGCCTCTGTGTTTAATGATGTATGAAAACAACCTGCCCTACGCTTTGTGGTAGTTGACGTTTGACATGACATAAAGTGAGTATTATAAAGGTAACACCTTTGGAAAGATTTCCGTATAACTTCATTTCGGTTGTCTCTTTTTAACCCTTTGTTAGTGAAGATTTCGGTCGTAAGTTAAATAGGGGATGAGGTTGTAGTTACGCTTTGTTGATCGAAAAAAAATGGGACCTACGTCTTTGTTGTTCATCATTTGCAAAATTATCTGCTTCAATATTCTACGCCTTGCGACAATTTTGTTCCTTCTTAGTTTGCGATTTTTTATTTCGTGTAAATCTCTGATCATGTATTTTGTGATATCGAAATCTGCCGGGTGAGGTAGTTTTGCAATCGAAATTGCCTTTGGGCTTTTTGGAGCCTACAGCCCTATCAATTCCTTACAAAGATCAAATTCTCGGGAGCGAAGTAGAATGCTTGGCAACCGAGGAAGGCAATATGATTTTATTTATGTATTCGCTGATCTTTTTGTCTCATACGTGATTGTGTCAAACGATAAGAATCAAAT